CTTCAGATATGGAAACACATACTTTGCCTGCGCTGATCAGAGACAAACCAAACTGAAACCACAGGTGGAACTCTTCAAAAGCAACTTTCATCCCTCTGTCAAAACACTGAAACACATTAAAAAAAATTTGGTATCATCTTTTTCTTTGCTCTCATTGGCTCTTATGACTATGTTACTGTTGAAGTTTTGGTATTTTGACAATCTGTGAAAAAGTGCTCTTAGAAAACATATTGCTACATTCTAACCTCTGCTAACATGCCATACTGAGCTCTCCTGACCAGTGCCACTGTTAGTAAGTCGTACGCATTCTCAGAGTCTATCACTGTCTGTTGCCTAGCTGTTGATCTTTCTGGAGCTTGACTTAGCTCTGCATCCTTAGAGACCTGAAAAAACAAAACCAAAAAACAAACAAACAAGTAAAATTCAACAGTATTCTAATAAGCTTGAGGCCACCAAAACAATGAAAATCAATCAGAGGACAGAACTAAAACAAGAGATAACAATATTTCTGATCAAATTTCAAGAACAAAACAAAGAAATTGCAACTTCTTCATAAAACAAGTAAAGTGTATGTGACCACAGTGTCAGTGTTACACATCCACTTTAAAAATCATGGTTGTTACTTCAGTGCTATTACATGCTTCCCTTTAGTACAAGTTAGAAGTATTTTACACAACATTACTACAAATAGTATATTTACTACTAACAATAAATAATTATACCTAAATCTGGTGGAAAATAAATTTATCACAAGGCAATATTTACCTTATCTTTAAACCTACATGAAAAACATAACAATTCTAAACAACAGAAAAAACCAACAAACAAAAACTCAGTTTTAAACAAACCATACCATAGCCTCCTCCAAAAGCAAAAGGAGCAAACTCTCTTCTGTTTCATTCCTGGGGAAAAACAAACTGCAAGAAAAAAAAAAGTACACATCATTGCATGGGGAACAAAGTAGCCTCATAGGCAGTGTATGGGACACCTCTTCAATGTCTTGGGTCCTGTTGTATAAAGGCTGGATAACACTGCCCAGTGGATAAATCACTATCCAGCAGATAAGTGTAAACAAAACATACTGGGCTATCCACCAGAGAGAGATTTATACTGTGGATAGTGTTATCCATGCTCAAACAACTGGACCTGGTTTAGTTGATTAGGATCATCATTTTGTGTTCTTGGGCAAGCTGGAAAACACACTCTACAAAATGTCTCTCTCTTCCAAGAATTATAGATCAGATCCAGTAAACTGCCTAAGAAACTTGACATACATGTATTGTTGAGGCATTCTTAACGATGAAAGGACTGGAATGCTGTCCACAGGGATTGGCCATATTCCTAATCCTTGTTGGACAAGATGTATGTTTTGAGAAACTTGTCAAACTTAGAGCAAATTTTTAGACACTTCTCCAAAGGTTATCTTAACAGTCTGTGTCATAATTTCAGGTGCACTTTTAAATGAAAGTGATAAAATCATTTGGTTTTTAGACCAAACCTCACCATTGGGAGAATTTCAGTAAAACTCTCAGATCAGCTTGAAGGACTTAAAAAAAAAGGCACAAATAGGCCCATCTCATACCTTTCTCCATTGTACATTTGTGGTTTTAGAGGAAAGGTTGCATGCTTGCAAGTGATAACATTACTTGAGGTGGCCTTCAAGTCCATCTTGGATCCTGATTTCAGTGATGATGTTGAGCTTATCAGTGGAGAGCTGGGCAGTAAATTTAAAGGTTTTTCATAGCTCCTCTCACAAACTCCTCGTAAAAGAACCTGCGCCAGTTGTTTGGCTAGTCCCTGAACACAATTAAGTTTTTTTAAAAAAAAATAATAATAAAATAAAACAACAACATTTGAGAAAGAGAGGCTTGATCACAAGTGGCTTGATCACAAGCTGCTACTGGCTGTTAAACTCCCTAAAACTGGGCTACAATGATCAAAAGTCGTCAGCCAATGCATTTACCTTTCTCAAGCCAAGAGTAGTTCTTGTCTCCACCACTCTCAACATGTGCCTGAATCTGTTGATGCCATCAATAATTTTCCTGTTACAGTATAAAGACATAAATTAAACTTCATCTCTAAAATGAAAATCAGAGCTTTCCCTTTTTTAATAATAAAATTAAATTACATCACAGGGGAGTTTGGAGCCCGTAATACAAACATAGTGTGGACAAACTTAACATGCACAACAGTCTGCATGTGCAGCAGAAAGTGCATCTGAGTAAGCCTGGGTATTACTCACCCATTCTTGATAAGAAGCACTGGGGCCCTTTGAATTGCTATCTCCAAGGTTCTTCCTAACTTTGGCATTTGTGATGTTGTTACAGTCCTTTGTGAAGATGTCTGGTCAGTAATTAGCCAGAGTCCTATGTCACCAGCGCATTCATAACAAGCAATAATGTCCTCATCACTGATGTCTGACTTTCCAATTGACTGCAACTGTTCAAGAGCCATTGCTGAGAGTATAAGATACATAGTCAATAAAAAACATTTCTATAACCCATTTAATATTTTGCTCCTAAATGATTGGTCTACACGCATCATTTGACTAAACATGCCATGGCTAAAACTTTGGATTGTCTGGTAATATTCCCAACATTGACTTTTCTCAACTTACATTTTACATCTGGTAAAATGAGAGTTATATGTTTTTCAAGATGGGAGAGCATTTTGCTATCATTGCAAATGAAAAGACCAACTTGCTTTTAAACCCTTTTGCATCTAAGAGTGATAAGCATCTAAATTCTCCCAACAGTATCACCCTTGACTCAAACATTAAGATCACAAGAATAAAGGAAATGATCACTGGCTCTGTACCATGAGAAATGTAAAGAGAAGAGTGTGGAGAACTTGCATACTGATATTAGAGTGAAAAGGGTTGACACAATCATACCAGAGAAACTGAATGTCAACAAATCCCTGAAGCAATTATTCCTGGCAACCAAGGTTCTTTTATAATAATTTGGAGTTCTTGAGCCAGAAATGTAGCATTCTGTGTCACACCAAATCACTTGTTCTTATCAGTGCATGAAAAACAATAACATGGAGATATGATTTATCAGTCTGCAAAATCAGCTGCTGAATGTTACCTTTGTGAGCAAAACCTTCAGCAACCAGTTTTGTTTTCCTCTTAAGTTGTGTGTCCATGTAGATGTCTTCCATTCCAGCTTGTTTGCAGTATTCTACACAACTCTGAAAGTCTTCCAACACAAAATGAGCTTTGCAAAGCAAAAACAAAGCTTCTTGTTTCCTCTCTACCTGTTCAATCAGAAGATAAGTTATGGTTCAAGAAAGAAAAAAATTAACAATCTGATCTTGGAGGTAAAATCATTAATTATTTGGATAGGTATCTGTTTACAGTATTTATCTTTTTATCTATTACTTCATTCATTTATTTATTTTTTGATTTATTGATTGGTTACTGGTGTAATGACTGAACATTAACATTTTGTTTAGTTTTTCTTATTTTTTTTGTTGTTTGTATGCATTGCATGCCATTGCTTTAGTGACTTTTAGGCCATGTGATTTACACAACCTCGTGGTTGAAAAATGTGAAAATTAATGGTTGATTTCAGGGAAACAGTCCTTGTTTTTGTGGATGAAGTGCTTTTACGAGGCAACTGGTGATTCATTTGTTTACTGTTTACATACCTTTCCCAACTTATCTTGAGAAACCAGTTTTTCAAGATTTGAGATAGTTTCCCCTAAACTTTTCTTAGCCTGAACAGCATCTGTTGTTCCAAGAGGATGATCTCTGAGGTATATTTCAAGCCGGGATTCACTGATTAGGAACTTTTTTATTGTATCTGTAAATGAAAATTAACCCTTTAACTCCCAGTAGTGATAAACATGTAACTTCTCCCTATCATAACTACATGTTATCTACCAGACTAGAATGAGAATACTAAAATTGATCAGGTAAAAATTGTTATCTTGATCTAGCACCAAATTCTCACAACTTCTTTATAAGGAAATGTGTAGCAGCTAGAGGGGATAGTTGAAAATCAGATCAGATACATGTAAATGATACAGCTTTATGTAGGAGATCCAGTTTGGCCACATAATGAAATTTAAGGTTTCATTGTTTTTAAAATTCTGTATTGCAAGTCCTCTTCCACTGACGACTATTAAAGATTAAATTAATGTGTCTCATTCATTGGATGGTGTCATCTGAAATGTTACTCCTACTGTCCCCAGAGTGAATATACTTTGTTTAATTAACCTCTCTCCAGTCTCTTTAAACTTTGAAAAACCAGTAAACCCTGGAAAAGCCTCCATCACTCAAAATTCTAAATGACCCCAAAGAGGTTGATGCGAGTCGATTCTACTTCCGTTAAACTTCCCAAACATAACCTCACAACATTTGAATGCACGACTGAATAAAAAATATTTCCTTGAATCTTCCCATTGACGTTTTAATTAAAGACGATACACATGAAATCGGAAAATTTGTGACATATTTTTGAGTCTGTCAATATAGATGTAGCATTACTCAGATTTCGAAATAATTTAATGATGAATGTAAACACTAAAAGCAGACGGAGGGATACTTTTCAATTTCACGTAAAATTTTTCGACTGAAAACGTCAATCTTCCAGAATCCTTCACTAAACTTGTGAATTATTGAACAAAAGCTTTACCAAACCGTATCCATGTTGATGAAAATTTAGAGTAAAATCCAGCTAATAATTACAAAGGAATTTACTTAACGACAACAAAAACACTCACCTATACTTGGTTCACTTGTAGTCCGACTCGATAGCTGATCGACCAGTTTTGGAATACATTCCCATTTTTCCTCCCACCGTGAACGCTCTATTTCATTTTCTAAACTAGTTTTGGATCTTCGAGCCATCTTATTTCACGAAAGCGTGTTTTGAAGTAATGTACAATATGCCCGCGGAACAACTACCAGACGGCCATGTTTGTTTTCAACCAGAGGGCGCATAGGACTGGGTTCTACTTAATTCAAGACTTGTCATGTAAGAGCACACAGAAAGTCCATGAGCAACCTTATTTTTATAATTTTGTTCCAGTTCTTCGATCGGATGGTGTTATTTACTACCAAGATTAAATATAATTGAAAGTGAAGAAATGTTATTTTTCACTCTACGAGGTATTCGATCATTATGAACAACTTTCAATTACCATCACCTGCTCCTCTTTCCTCAAAAAAATCCCATTCATCCCTGGGATAATATTATTTCGTTTTGGTCCGGTTTATGGTAGATTGTTTAAAAACGGAGGGATATTGGTTGGGGGAGGGGGGAAGCCCCGTTTCGCAACCAGCTGATAACGAAAAATACCCGTGGGAACAAACGGCTCTCTAAAATTTCCCTTATTCCCATCGTCTGACTTCGTGACTCAGTTAGTAGCACACAACTACTATTTAGGGTGGGGTAATATTTGCAAACCCCGTCGAAACATGAGCTTCGTACTCTGCAGTTCCTTTGATCACTGTTAACCTATGAAGATCATTTCGTTGTTGGTTACTACTGACAAGTTAAAGTTTAACTTTCTGCACTTATTTGTGATCAAAATTCAGCCCTGTTACTTTAACTGAACATGAAACAAAACAAAACAAAACGCGATCAAATCTTGACTCAGTTGTAAGTTACCAGGTTGATCACGGCTCTCCACTCTCCGCATTATTTGATGAGACACTAAAAAAGAAGCTTTAATACATAAATTTGAAGGCTCGGCTTATTTACATTTTCAGGTGAAGTGAAGTTACTACGACTTAGGAGGTATTTGAAGTGAAACTAAGAAAATAATTAACTCATTATAAGTGATACACATCTCTGCTCAGAGAAAAAGGTCAAAGACGGGATTGACCCGTTCATTCGTTACCAATTTGATTATATTATTCATACGCATAGTTACCTTTTGCAAACGCTATGGTTGTTCAATACGGTTTGCGTTCATGTTTACCGTAGAGAGGGATTATGATTGGAAATAGATTGAAGGTTATACCACAGACTGCCAATTAACAAGGCGTGGACTATTTCTTTTGAAGCCTTGGGTTCGCGTAACTGTCTTGAATAGTACACACACGAGAAATTCCTCCAATACTGAAGTTTCTAGAAGACACATCAGTCAATATGTCCTACAGCGCTACATGATTTCTTTCATGTATGACAAGTAGTTATTTACATATCTATTTTATGTACAACTTGAAGGAAAAAAAACGTCATCGCCTAAATGTTAGACCTCCCTTACATACTTAGAATAGGTGAAGGTCTAAAATGAGGTTAAATTAAACTGACTCTTAGATAGGTTGCAATGGCTGGCAGATTGTTCTCTGATGTTTGATTCATTTCTTCATAATTCGTAGGAATTCTGCAACAATGTAGAAAACATATGTTAGCATCCTTGTTGTAGAGAGTTATGCAGTGGAAGCATTGGAGATTTCATGCAAGAATAATTTCCAAGTAGTTCTGAAAAATTGCTGTGACGAATTGTAGATTTATTGGTACCTCTGGCATTGTATGTGTCTATTTTGATTCAATTTGATTATGTTACTGAATTTCAGAGGCCTCCCGTAAGGTCAGGACAACAATGACATCACCCTTATCCAATCTTTTTTTTTATCCGGTGTAATGCATCGGTACCCTAAAGTATTACCTTCGTAGTTTACCCTGCCGTCTCCATCCAGGTCTACTTCCTTGATCATATTTTCCACAGCAGCATCAGTGATCTGTTCCCCTAGGCTCGTCAGGACGAAAGTTAATTCTCGTTTGGAGATATAGCCGTTGCAATCTGTGTCGAACAGTTGAAATGCGTCCCTGAGATCGTCTTCAAATGTGTGCTCACCCATCTTGTTGGCCATTACTTCCAGAAACTCTAGGAAGTCAATGGAACCGTCACCTGAAAGAAACATAAAATTCTACATCAAAGGTTTTACAGCGGAGTAAAGGTGTCGGGCTAGGAACGTAAGTGAGGCGTTCAAAGTGTCTTTCACTGGATCAAACTGGTATTAATTTGCCGTAGTGAAGTTCCTTAAATTAAAAGAGACACTTTCTTTGTCGTAGTTTTACTTTAGGCATGGAAAAGGGGTAAAAACAAATGCAAGCGGAGTAGAAGAAAGGAGCAACATTTTGGTCAATAGCGGTGAAGGAACGGACAGGGGTTTGGAACTCAGTAGGGGGGGGACAATTCTTGTTCATTTATTTGTTGATACCCACCCCGTCTTAGTCATTGCCAATAGAATATGCCGCTACGAAGTTAACGTTTCTTAAGCAATCTTTCTCATAGAGATCGATAAACAGTACGCACACTATTTCCAAACCCGTCGATTTTAGATGTTGATGAAGTTATTTACTCATTAAGGATCCTTTTTGAACATACTCACCGTCTTGGTCAGCTTTTTGAATCATTGCTTCAACCTCTTTCTTCGTGGGACTTTGACCCAAAGAGCTCATTACTTCACTCAGTTCGTCTGCTGTTATTCTTCCGTTGCCATCTTTGTCAAAGAGTAGGAACGCTTTCCTAAAGTCTGGGTGAAAATAATTTTTTCTGTTATTCAAATTCATATTTAAGAAGAACAGTGGGGGGTTTTGATATCTCCTACTGCGCTCTAATTAATTTTCTGAAATAAACTGTTTCCCCATGCAAACTCTAACAGGGCCTTCTCATGAGGGAAATGTAAATTTTTTTAAAAAAATTTGAATTTGCTTACCTTCTATTTGCTCTTCGGTTAATTTACTGGAAGCCTTAAGTGAAATGAACGAAAATAAGAACTTGGTTAGCTTAAAACGCACATGAAAGATAAATGTGTAACAGTACATGGATCAGATATGTTAGTTGGTTTGTCACAGTTACCATGGCTTTATTTTCACCACTGCTTAACGCTTTAACTCTCAGAAGTGATTAACATGAAACTTCTCCCTATAATATTCCTACATTATCCAGCAAACAGGTGATGAGAATATTCAGACTTATCAGGTAGATTTTTGTTATTCTTATCTAACACCGAATTCTCTTAACTAATTTACAAGGAAATATGTAGCAGCTAAAGGGGAGAGTTGACAATATGATCTTGGGAGTTAAAGGGTTTATCACTCTCATCCTTAAACAAGCCTCACCTTTTTTCAGGCTTAATTTTCACCACTGCTTAGGTAGTGTTCATTACTGCAATTATCACTCTCATCTTAAAAAGAGCCTGAATTTTTTTGGGGGCTTTATTTTCACCACTGCTTAAGTAGTGTTTATTACTGCAATAATTACTCTCATCTTCAAATAACCCTGAAATTTTTTTCGGGCTTTGTTTCAATTACTGCTTAAGTAGAGTTTATTATTGTGATGGTCACTCTCTCCTTCATCTACTAATCAATCGCACTTCAAACATATGATGTTCACATATTCACAGTCCTTTAAAGTGATGCCTTCAAGTTTTAGATCCATGACGATAAACAGATAGGTTCGTTATCATTATTCGCTTTGCTTTTTTTCAAAATTGTTTTAATTGCATGACACAAATTACTTTCAAAATATCATTTATTTATGTCAAACAACCAGTGTCGTGTAATTTGAGAAAAGGAACAAATTTACATAACGAAATAGTAAATATTTTTGAAATAACGGTTGAATTCACATGCATCAAGAATTTATTGTCTTATATTTTCTCCTTGGAAACCATTCTATTATCGTGGCGAAGTTGAGGTATCTTAATAAACTGAAAAAAACAAATTTAATTTAAAGTTCCAAAACACCTGCATGTTTCTTGGTTGTTAAATCGTTTAAGCGTTCGTATGACAACAGATTAGCTAATTTTGAAAGTAATTCGAAGAGATGCGTTTTGTTTCTTTTGTAACTAATTATTTGCAATGACCTAATATCTCCGTTTTCAGCTACATCACGAAATCATCTTGCAAATGACTGAACGTCTGCCTTCCGGGGTACGATTCAACATAACATACACTCGATATGACAGTTTGTTCTCGTCACTGATTCGAGGATTTTTTCTCGAAATTCTATGTTATTTCTCCCTCCTCAAAAACCAACGCCTAAAATTTTTATTCAACCTGGAATCAATGGGCTAAGTCCAAACTAGATGTGCCACAGCCAAATTCTATTCCTAAAATGCCTCAATGATGTCACACAAGGCTAAATACCCACAATTCCACTTACCATTTCTTTTTCATTAAAGCGGAAAAGGTCACAGTTTCTCTCTAACAAGATTTGCTAATTCCCTGATATTTGTATAGTCGCTCGTGTTCCTTGCCAAACTCCGGCTGCTTCATGGCATAGGCTCTGTTTTGTTAAGCCTCTGTGGCTTTAGTCAATTATAGCATTAATTTTTCATCATGTCGGTGTAGACCTCCCAGAGTCAAAGACATTGATAACTTGAAAACCCCTCAAATTGTAATATTTTGATCAGAACACCGAGCTGCTTACTTGCGAAGCAATTTACGAATCTAAAACAGTGTAAATACACCAATGGTTTGCATATTCCAATATGAAAAGATTTCAGTGACAAAGATAACACAGGTTTGAAAGTCATATGATGTGAGACCATCAGCTGACAAACTCATTATACAACTTAACATACACTTCTGCACAACAGCTCGGCGGATCCGAAAAGTGTAGACCACAAAGCATGAAACGACATTATAAACCTTTCCTACCTTTTTGCTCAACGTTTATACAAATTTTCATCTATCCAGCCGTTGTTTCATTTGAATAAAGCACTTACATAAATCACAAACTTATGCGAGACAGGAGATATTTCCTGTAGTCCCAGTAACGCAAAAATTCATACTTAAATTGAGAACAATTAAACATCTTAACCTCTCAGATGTTTAAAGCGATGTAAAATTTCCAATGCTTTCAATACCTGATTCTCGACCATATTTTCCTTGACCTCAGTCATACACGAAATAGTTCAAAGCTTCTGAGGCGATAATCTTCCAGCGATCAATTATTAATAGTATGGTTGTCCTCCGTTCAGACACATCATGGCAGTTGTTGTGGTGAGTTTAAAAACTTGTTACTAAGAACGAATAAAAAAGCATCATCGATTTTGTCCCAGTAACACGACCTCTGAGAGGCAGAGCCTTTACACTGTGGGAAACTTTTATGATCTTCTTGAATCCAGAACCTTCTCAGCGCGAAACGGCAGAAAGCTTGAAAACTTCCTTCGTAATTGAAAATGTAGCCATATGCTCAGTTTTAATTCTATACAAAGAATCTACCGAGTGGCGGACAAGAAAAACGAGCATGAAAACTGTAGAATTTTTATGACCAAGACATTTCTTTAAGAATATCTATTGAACCGGATAACGATAAACCAATCAGAATTCGATCTCAAATCACATGACCAATGAAAAGCCAGGAATTTTACATCCGGCATCGCACGAATGGACTGAGGGATCAATATCCGTTAAACAGCTTAGTATTATTGGTGATATGATGTTAAAATTGCGGTCTTCTTTCCGAAATCAGTCCTAAATTCCACTTACAGCCCCTGAAAATTGAAATTACCCTGCTTCCTAATTTGAAACTCATCTGAATAATAATGTAAATGAAAATGATTGGTTTTTTTTAGCATGGTGCTCAAGGAAAAAAGGCAAGAAGTAATGGGATTAATTTCTTTATTTGATATGAAAGGCATTGAAAAAAAATTCTGTTAACTCCCTACAGACGTAGAACCTATGATTATTTGAAATTTATTCGATGCGAAACTGGTGAAATCAACACATGTCGCTATGTTTTGTCGGCTTTTTCAAGTTGTTTTCTTTTACTCAGGATGCGTGTGAATCATGCATAATTAAATCTACCGTACTCAAAATTTTGAAGTTTCTTTTCTTTAATTTCAAGCGCCGGGAGTGTAAATTAACAAAAATTATTCGCCCCATATAAATTTTTCAGCTGCCGTGGTTTCGCAAAGATCAGCTCAGGTCTTTTATACGTTCGCGTGTAATCTATGCTTTGTTGAGCAGGTACATGTATTAAATATTCACGCAGCACGTCCGAAATGCAGGCTATAGATATACGAAGCATGTTATCAAAACTTACCTTGAATTAACTCCCTAAAATATTTGTAAAATAAACGAAAGTTTTCAACATTTGGTTTTTCCAAGTAAACAATATTAAGGTAAACCATAAAAATAAAGAGTGGATGTCATATTATACAACTGTTTTATAACCGAAATGAAATGCACTAAGTAAAGAGCCACTGGTAAATTATTTAATAGAATAAAAGTTAAAATGCACATCTGTAATAGTTTTAAAATAGCTTTGAGTTCCATAAATACTCCGTGTAGCTGGTCGAAAGCTGTTTAGCATTTAATTTATCAAGCGGAGTGTTTCTAATTTAACCTGCACTTGAAGCAAATTTTTATCAAAATTGGGCGTATCTTGGAAACTCCTAGCTTATCATTGCATTACAAGAGAAATTAATGTATTTTTCTATCGTCTTTTACTGCCAAAAAAAAAATAATAATTTCAGCTACTTTGAAGCATTTCGAAAGCGTATTCGACCATATGTTTCGTCTCGAAAATCTTAAAGCCACTTCAATTCTTGAAAGATATCCCAGCAACATAATTTTGCGACAAATCTAAAAAGAATACGTTTTGCAAGAATTTACTTCAAAAGTTTTTTTTTTACATTAACGGAAGAAGCGTCTTTCAAATATTGTTTTCCTACATATTCTCTACTCACCATATTTCGATAGCGGTGGAGGAGGGATTGAATTTATGATAACAACATTTATCTCACGTCAGTTATGTAAAGACGTTGTTCGACTAACGCAGGATCTCATTAATTTCTTTGAACAGTTTGCACAATAGAAACACAATCATTTTGGCATAAGAAAGCTTTTTCAAATGAAAATTTAATGAATATCAGTATGTTGAGCTTGAGATTTATGCTAAATTTTGAAGCAAAAAGTTAAGAAAAATCGACTTACCTTACGAACAGTAAAAGCCATTGCACAGCCTTTTTTGCTAATCACTTTAAAACGTCAAAATATTACAAGGAACCACCAGTAAATATTTAAAATAAGCCCATAAATTAGATTCGTTCCATCTGTGGTTTATTATTCTGGTGCATGCTAACAGCCTTCCGGTTTCAGTAAACATCGGGGAATATTGAATGGTAATAACTTACATGTTGCTAGCTTCCCGGCGACTGATAAGTTTCACAGTATGCTCTGTAATTTCTGAATGGGTTAATATCTTTCGTGGTAAAGTCAGCCTGTTCTTAATTTAAATAATCATTGGTCGAGTAACCAGAAAATAGGCATCCAACATACTGAGAAGGTAAAACATACCGGTAAAGTCCAATTTTGTTTCTTAAAATTTTAAAGTAATGAGTTAAAATGTCAGAGTTTATTTTTCGCAGAAGACCTTAAAGAAAAGAAGGAAACGTTTTCGTATCACGCAACGCTGTCATAATCTCTCAAAACCTTCCTACTTTCAGGATGTAAATGCCAATTCTCCACACTCTCAGCTATACAGTTTTTTTTTATGGTATTAGCTCTAACTATCTAATGTTGATTAAAACAATACCCCGAGTTGATGATATCCCTATTTCTCATAATCTCTCTACTTGAAACTCTATTGATATCGTAAGGAGAAATGTATCCTTGGTCAATCACGGGAGTGAAAGCTTTATGACATTTGGCGATCCAGGAATTTTCCCGTTCTGGTCCATGCATGTCGTAAGAAACCTTTGCATAGATGCTGTTCAGTTCGAAAGTTTCTCTTTGCATTATTAAGAGAATTCTTAATATCTCATCGACCATATTTTTCCTAGAATCTTATCTCATTCGAATCCGATGTCCTTTACTACTGAACTGATCACGATAAAACAAAACGTCTCATTTTTCTCTCAGGAAACCGGTAAACAACGACACAGCAACTCTAAATGATAAATTGAAATAACTTCAACAATTTTTTTGGTAGAGTTCAGTAGATTCTGAGGGTGTACAATTGAGCTCTTTCTCGCCTATGTTCAAAATCAATTTTGGGAAAATCGAATAAGCTGATATATTAATCAGATAAAATGTTTATTTTATACAATAGCGAGAACTGAACGCGCTTAGCTCGCAGAGCAGGCGTAATTTTGGCGGTTGAGTGCTTAGTATTATTATCTTTTTACAGCGGCGGAAGGCTGGGGAGAGAAAGAAATTTGTACCGAGGGGGGTGAGTGACGGTCAGCTAAAACTCTACATCAATGAATGATCGCAAGCCTCGTGATGTTAACGGGCTATCTTGGGTAATCCTCAGATCCTTTTATTCATACCTATCATTAATTCAAAATTCCCTTTCAAAAACTTTTAAAATACTGAAAGAAAGAAGTAATTCCATTCAGGTCCGTAGAGAAGAACCTGAGTTTTTATATTCCAACATAGCAAGCACAGCTGGTTTGAGTTTCCAGATGACTGACACAGTTAGGTAACATATTGCGGTTTGAGATTATGAATTTTCTTTTTACACTGGGTAATTCTTTCATTTGTTTTATTCTAATTATTTAAGAGGTTTTAGATATGGAAAATAATAATCCAGTAAGTTCTACACTGGTTTTTTACATTTGAATGCTTCACACCTTGAAGAATATCAGACAAAACAGTATATTTTACGACTCGAAGTCTGCCACTCATGAAACTTTTGTCACAGGAAAGGTTACATTTAGAATCTGTCATGATGAATTCGTTATGTCACTGTCGAGGTCGAATTGCGGGTATTCTTTTAAGATGCCTTTGTCATTTGTTTCCGACAATTATTACACGGAAGCTGCGAAAATTATTAAAGAACCTCCGGCAGCCCTGCCGAAGCGCGAATTTCATGTACACAGGCATTCGCAGGCATGTCTCCGTAGCACCTCAACGTTCAGCGCTGCAGAGTTCATATACCATCGAGAACAATACTGTTGATTGTGCTTTCAATGTTGAAGGGTGTTTGTTGGCTTAGCTGTTTTAGCCATTCCCAGAATTTTGATGACAAATAGCATGCTGAGTTTCCTTGCAAAATGAAAACACCATTGAAACTCAATCGACTGTCAACTGCTTGTTGTTTGTAATGCCTAAAAGAAAAAAAGAGAAAGTTTCTCGAAGAGCAGGCGACTCAATTTATATCTTCATCTATATTGAAGCGCAGCCGATGGACAGCAAATCTGAGCAAAGTTAGTCGAGTAAAGCCAAACTACTCAGAGAAAACACATTCTTTGTACTGACGTCGAGCAGAGAATAACCGTTCGCAGGTGTGTCTTTCTAATACGTTCTATGCCTTATGTTCCTAGCTTCAATGAGGAATTCTGCAGCTTTTCGCTTCAAGGCTACCTATAATACGCTCCTACTGTTCGATGCACGTTTAGAAAATTAGTAGAGCCCATGCGACCCAACTCAAATTCTGGAAAATAGTTAACCTGAAACGGCAAACGGTGCGTATGTATCAATGAAGATATATTTACATCGCCTGTAGATCACGTGAAGCGCTTTAGGTAAAGATCGCGAGCTTCGTAATGTAAACTCTCCCTAATAAGACGCCTGCAATGCATGCTAGAACAGACTATCTTGGGTAATCATCAGATCGTTTAATTTATTCTTATAATCAATTCAAAATTCCCTTTCAAAAGCCTTTAATACAAAAGAAAGAACTAATTCTATTCAGGTCTGCCGAGAAGAGACTGAGTTTATATAATTCAAACATAGCTAGCGCAGCCAGTTTGAGTTTCCAGATGATGGTCAGTTAGGTAACAGATTGCGGTTTGGATTTATTAATTTTCCTTTTCGTACAGAGTAGCACTTTTATTTGTTTTTATTCTAATTATTGAAGAGGTTTTGGATATGGGAAATAATTATAAATCAGTAAGTTCTGCACTGGTTGTTTCATTTGAATACATCACACCTTGAAGAATATCAGACAAAACAGTACATTTTACGACTCGAAGTTTGCCACTCATGAAACCTTTGTCATAGGGAAGTTTACATTTAGAATCAGTCATGATGAATTCCGTATGTCATTGGAGAGGTCAAATTGCGGGTACTCTTTCAAAATAACGTTGTCATTTCTTTCCGAAAATTATTACACGGAAGCTGCGAAAATTATTAAAAAACCTCTCGCAGCCCTGCCGCCCAACATTCAAAGCTCACACAAGCGCGAGTTACATATACAAAGGCATTTGCCATGGATGCTTTCACTGTTGAAGGATGTTTGTTGACTTAGCTGGTCAAGTAATTTTGATGAGTCTCTTTTCTTCTCAGTAATAGAAGCCTGAATTTTTGG